GTATTTTTTAAACATTACAAATTATTAAAAATTTAAGTTATTAATAAATTAAAATTGATACAATTTTTACTAGAAAATACTTTTTATTGCTGGTCAAAGAATTAATTGCATAGTGACCTGTGGGTCAATAACACAGTGGTAGTGCTCCCAGGTCACAATCACAAGGTCTATAGTTCAATACCACTTAAGAACCAAAATCAAAAATTATCTTTCTGATCAGGTTTGACTGGTTATTTTATGAAAGTCATACCCAATTATCCGGAACAAGATCCAATCAGGTTAGGCTGCAGAAAAATAGGACTTCTGGTCTTCTATTGATCAGGGGCTGAGATTTAAGATCGTACTACTGGAAGGATTGCATAAAGAAAGGCTTCTGGTTTAGCTTAGCATAGATGCTCCCAAGACCCCTGCCCTGGCAATCTCCAGGACCCCTGCTCTCCTAGCTCAGGATATCCCAATCTAGTGTTCCATTTAATTGAAAATCAGTTGACAAGAACTGATCCGATGCCACAGATGGTGACAAAGAAGGTAATGTGCCCCCTTTCAAGGTCTGAGTGAATAATATCTGGGAATATTGAAGGGTATAAACTTTCCTATCGGGTACACACGAAAAGAACTAACTTAGTAAAACAATAACAAAATTAACAAGCTCAATACTAACTAGCCTAGCCTCACCATTGATAACTGTGTATTAATCATCTGGCCCCTAGTTAAGTCTGTTCACTCAATGAGTGGTAGCTGGTTTAACTAGGACAAACTGTGATAGGTTATCATTAATCTGCATGTATATAGAAATATATAGTTTGTATGAGATGATTGATGTCATGTTATGGATTTAATTATCCATCAAATTGTTAAATTAATTCTTAATAAAGCTCGCATCTAATACCAATTGCAGTTCAAACATAAAAAAAAAAAAAATAATTAATTGCATAGTACTATAGTATTGTCAATAAAAGATATAACTTGTAGGTTGTTCCAAAATTTGATTCAAAAAATAGTATCAGTTATAAAAAAATGAAAAAAAAATAAAAAGAAGAATATCATATGGATTACTGATATAATCAATTATTGACAAATCAACATGTTTTGCAAGTACTTGAAATATCAATAATAAAAAATAAAGAAAAAATAATATAGAAAATCAAGTTATTTTAAAAGGTACTAGTTATAGTGGAGAGTATATTAATATAGAAACAAACAAATAATCATAGATAGATTTTTTTTTTTTTTTTTTTGTAAATGAGATTAAATGCGTAATTTTATTTGAATAAAAAGTATTCACAATCAGTATATTAACAATCTTTACATAGTGTAAATTAATTGTAGCCTATTGCAACTGAATTAATAATGCCAGCCAACACTACGTGAGTAGACTGACACTATTAATAACAATATTTATTAACTTTGATAAAGTAATATACAAATTAATATAGAGATTACAATGGTTGTTATGTGATGCCATATATTATTTATGTCACTAAACTCCCTAAAACCCAATCTTTAACAGATTTACTGGGTAGCTTGTTGCCCAAATATATCCAGTTGGATTTAATTTCTATTACTACTACTATCTAGAAAAAACTAGACACTCCTTATTGAATCTTCAATTCTTTCAAATTACTTTCAACTAATATACCATGATGGATTTGCTAATTCCAGGAAAAGAGAAGTATACCTTTCTTTTAATCCTGATGATTATGGCCTGTCACCAATACCAAGTGTATTAAATAAAAAGTATGAATTCAGTAGTATTTTTTGTGTTATATGAGGATAAAAAAACTATTTAAATCAGAATGAAAAAACCTTAGAGTAATTTTGGAATGAAAGAATGGTTGTGTCTTTGTGAGTAGAGTGAGTTCTTGAAGTTCCATTCCAATAGAAGAGATACTTATTCTATAATTATAATACTTTTGAAAAGTAATGAGAGAGAGAAGACCACAATTCATATGATGTTTATTTATCTATATCTCTAGGATATGACTTATAATAGATCTGAAGTTTTTATGAAGCTTAAAAAATACATTCATATTATATGTCATGTGTATTCTTGTTTATATTTTTGTTAACTATAGAGCAATCAATCCAAATCTTCAGTCAATCAATCCATCCAAAATTTAATGTAACAAAAAATTCATAATCAAGTTAAGATAGGCAAAATTTTTCAAAAAACCAAGAAAAAACTGCTATATGCTAAGAAAAAACCATTTCTATCTATAGTAGTGATGTCAGTTTCCCAGGCTAATATAGAGTTATTAGTTCACACTTCTTTCTGGACTTTGAGACCTCTATAGGAAAGAGAAGGAGGGTATTTTTTCATCTGATTTCTTCTTTCTAAAAAAACTTTTTTATTATTAACTTTTTAAGTAAAGAATTTTTGAAGAGGAAAAGTAAACAAGAAGAGTAAAATATGATTGTTGCTAAATGAAGCAGATGTTTTTAAAGAAAATTTTGAAGTTTTATTACTCTCAAAATATAAAGTTTTGGAAGTAGTGATTAAAGATCTATGAGAAAGAGTAATTCAGATCGTAGGTAGAATAAATAAATTTATTTAAATTTAATAAAAGAAAAATTTTTAAATTTAAAGTTATAAAATATTTCTGAAAGAAAATATATCAATTAAAAAAATTTTTTATTAAAATAAAGTTAGATTAATTTAAATATATTTAATTTACTTTAGTTAAATTAAAGTAGTTATAGTTGAATATATTTTGAAACAGGTTCAAAATATATCAAATCAGTTTCAAATTGATTTTGAATTGAATTGATTCAGATTTGAACCAGATCAGATCAAACTGTTATAATTTCAAATCAGATTAAATTAGTTTAAAATAAATTAAATTCATATTTGATTCTTATTTATAAAAATCAGATCAAATCAAATCTAGTTAAAATCTGATTCAATTCAATTTATTGCAATCACTAACTATATATTTATTTTAATTTTTTCTAAAAACCTAGAAGTAAATATATCCATTTTATATTTACTATTTATTTTGATATAAAAGAAATGATATTGGATATTTTTAATTTATTTCTTGTCTTATATATATATTGCTTAGCTATATTATTTTCTTTAATCTTTTTATTAATAACTTCTATTTTGATTATGCCTTCTAGCTTCTTATTTCATATTTCAATTTCAAAATATTTGAAATTTCAATTGTTTGAACTTCCATAGCTATTAATTTGTCTAATAAGCTATGTAAGAAGGTTGTTTTCAGATATTGTCTGACTTGATATAATATTTTGTAAAAAGTATTGTGCTTATTTGATTTGTTCTATTATATTCAAGTATTTGTTCTCTAAGAATGGAACTAAAAGATTTTCTTCTTTTTCTTGTTTTTTGATCTATAGATAAAGAATATGTTACTAAAAATATTGACTTTGACAAAGATAGTATAATCAATATTTAAAATTTAAGTGATAATACTATCTATGATTAAGTATTAGATTGGACCTAAGATTTTTAATTAAAATTTTAATTATTTAATAATATTATTATTACTAGAATTAAGCTAATTTTAAAATTAATTTTAAAGTTAATACTATAGTCTATAGTATATATTATTTTATGATTTGTTTTCTTTTATATTATCTATTTTAACAATTTAATGATTAATTGATTTAATTAATAACTTGTTGCTAATGAGAATTTCTTAAAAAAAATTTATATCTCTAAAAACTTATATCTAAAAACTTATTGAAATTTGATCAATTTTTTGATATCTTTTTCTTTTGAATAAATACTATAATTTTTAATTTATATAAATTACTATTCAAAATGTTATAATATAATTTATATTATATGTAACAACACTGGTTAATTAATTTCAACTGGATTGATCCTTTTAATCATAAAATTCACCATTTCTGCTCTAAATGCATGTAATGCATTGTTAGAAGGGGTTTACTGTATTTACAGTAATAATTACACGGTTTATATTCGGATATTCTACATTAAAATTATCAGTCATCAAAATATAAAGTGATTTCTTTGATATGCTGCAGCGAGATCGTCCGTGGCCTACACCGTAACATGGGAACTCCAAACAGTAAAGTAAGATATTCCTTTATAAACTTACATTCAAATATACGTAATTATAGGAGTTCTTATATTTATGTTTATGCAAATGTAACATAATAGAGGTATGGTTTTAATTCTATATTTTTAATCTTGATTAACTAGTTTGCTGAAACCAGGCATTTTGAAGAATAATGCACAATGAATCGTAATTTTCCTTGAGCAGTATATTGGATTTATAAATAACTAAAAAAGTTGGTGTGATGTGCATCACAATAAATTGCGCAAAAAAAAATTTATATTGACCGGTTATACTTCGATTCAGAAATTTTCATAAGGTTTTACCGACAATTCCGTCTCTTTGCAGTTTTCTAATCTCATCTTCTCTCATCCCTAAAACATTCACTAGAATTTCCCTGTTGTGTTGTCCTAAATCTGGGCCGGCCCAAGTTGTTCCACCCGGTGTTGCGCCAAGTTTCGGGGTAATAGCAGAAAGCTTTTGTTAAATTGTAAATTAGAATTAGAATAGAAATTCTTTGCTCACAATTTATCGAAGACAATAAGTATAAATGTTTTGTACTTTAAGGTTCCAGCCTCTGTCCTCCCTGTTTTCGCCAACTTTTACAGTCTCAAATAAACCACGTGATTTGAAGTGATCATCCTCAGAAATATCTTTGATGTTATATACAGGAGCGCACGGAATTTCACTTTTTTCCAGCTTTTCAAGTGCCTCTTTTGAGGTGAACCTTTTCGTCCAATCCGAGATTGCATCGTCAATTAATCCCTTATGTTGAACGCGTCCCTCGTTCGTTTTATATTTTCCAACAGTGAGATCGTCTCTTTCAATTACTCTCATCAACTTTTCATACATACAATCGCTACTTCCTTCTATGACAATGTACCTAGAATCAGAGCAAAGATAAGCGACATCGGTTACAGAAGTGCCAGAAGGTTGCCTTATCTATAAAGATTTTGTACCGTTATTGGTAATTCGTTGTTGATGCAAGTAATTCTCTAAGAAATAAATCATACTTCATCAAACCGATCATATTCTGGTAACACTCCTTCCATAATGTTAAACACGCTCTCGTAGATAGCTGCATCAATCACCTGCCCTGACTTGACGTTAGAAGAGAGTTTATTTCTTGCGAAAAGACACATAACGACACCAAGGGCCGCAGTCAATCCAGTCAAAGAATCTCCCAGAGACAAGTTCTGGCGTACTAGCGGCTGACTTTGAAACCTGTTGATATGCCGCCATCCTGCCATTGCCTTAAAAAGAACACTGTCTCATAATCGAATAAAAGTATATTTAAGCCGGCGCATAAATTCTTCATTTTTACCTCACATACTGACGCGAAACCCGGCCTTTTTGCATACGGACCCGTTTGCCCAAAGCCAGAAATACGTGTGTATACCAATGAGGGGTTGGTTTTATATAGTTCTTCTATAGAAGCGCGGCGCCAACAATTAACAAAATCATGTGTGCAACTTGATAAAAATTCAAATTTATATGATCTTACCAGGACCAAGTCCCCATTTCTCCATAACTCCAGGACGGAAGTTTTCAATCAAAACATCACTTCTATCAGCTAATTTACGAGTAAGTCTGGAAAATATATAATTGTTATACATAAATGAAGTGTACAACTAGGCCATACTAAAAACATTTTAACTTAACTTACTTCCTTCCTGCCTCTGTTCGTAAATTGATTTCGCATGATTTTTTATTTCTGCCGATTGATCGAAACCAAGGACTAACTCCATCGATGTCAAGCTTTCGTAAGGCACGAATAGAATCACCTTTTCCCGGTGGCTCAACCTTTATCTGAAGAGGGATGCGCGTCAAATTTTTGGCTCCAAAAGATAATTAAAACACCAAGAAACTTACTACTTCTGCACCATAATATCTTTTTCAACAGCAGGTATTAGTATAATTGCTCGATGGATTCTAACGCGATATTTGCAGAACAATTTTGTTCTAAATTACCCAAGGATTGTCCCACAAAATGGACCAGCGACCAACTGCGTTTAATAATTATCGTGAATTAAGGTCTATACAACTCAGGAACTAGGCAAAATCAGTGAATTTCGTATACCTGCCCTAATTCCAGAACGCGAATTCCCTCCAGTGGTTTCGGTGAGCTTGACACCTTAGAAGAATGGCGTACATTTGACACTGGAAAATCGAAAGATACGTTTATAAATGGAATAATTAATTTAAATGCGATACCAATAAAATATTACTTAATAATAATCCAATTCCATTTTTAGATGTATTCTTCTTGAGGCGAAAGAGCACTTTGGAACTATCTATATAATACAACATAACATTTCGTCATCAATTACGGAGAGCTTTGATTCATTGTTTCACGTGGTATCACGGAAATCTTTAAAATGAAATTTTTTGGTTGGTGTCATATTTAAAGTGTAATTATTGAAATGGAGGATACGCCTGTCAATGCGGTATTTTTTTTTAATGATTCCATGTAGATAAAGTATTTAACGTTACTTTAAAACATAGGATCTAAAACATATTATGATATTGAAAGGCTCACGCTTTTGCCAACGCGGCCGAGGAGTTTGAAGAAAAGGAACAGTGGGGTAAAGCGATGGAAGCCCACTTCCGTGCTGCAGGTATGTCCTTCCTCAGTTATACATGCACAGCGCTAATGATTCCGAATTGATCCATCGTCAAAATGTTTAGAACAATTTCTTTTGGCGATGAACTACACATTGGATCCCGAGGTAAGAAGGGGATGGGGAAATTCACTTTTCACTCTTACTCAGTTGCAACCTAACAAACGTTTTGAAATACTAACAGGCAATACGAACCTTAAAATTACTTTATGCTAACCACACTCGGCAAGGAAAAGAATTACAACGTCGTTTAAGTCAACGAGCACAACATTCCCCGAAGCAGGAACATCCGAGTACATCGTCTCACCACAAGAAATCACCTGCACAATCAAAATCGAATGCTGCAGTTCCATCACCAAAAAGTAATACTAGTATGAGGACACAACAACATTTACAAGGATCCTCGTCCCATCCAAATTCGCAGCATGCCGTAGGGATGCATACATCGTCCAACTCAAATGGTAGAATGACGCCTGATCTATTAAGATCTGGTGTCAGTAGTACTTCTGCAAGGTTGGCAAGTGATGTAAAGGGTACAAGGCAAACACAAACATGGTCCGATTGTCAGTAATTGCGATCCAATTTAGTCAATTAAAAATAAAATAAAAAATAAAAAAAACCAATTATTTCGTTTCTTTTAGCACTTACGTCAGTCGCGCCAGGTGTTTCTTTGGATGAGTCTGCGGTCACAGAAAAGACAATAGATGAATCATATATGGTATTACGAGGAAATAATGACTCAACAGACGTGAGTAATAGGGATTTGTATTTATGGTTTAAAATGTGATCATTTTTCTTTTGTGGATATAACAGTATTTTCACAACAGGATGACGACATGGATCCTTTCAATAAATTTTGGGAAATTGTTGAATCATTAGTTTCAAAGGTCTCAAATCCAGTTGCTTTCGCTACTGCGCCCCTTAACGGGACTGATCCACGGACGTTACTTGATCCCGGTACTATACATACATTCGGTAATAATACCGATGTGGAAAATGGTAAATTATTCCTCCCTTCCTTCTTTACACTTATTGATCATTGTGTTGACAGTATATGTACATTACGCACGTAGCAGACAAAAACTCTAAATCTGATGAATTAAATACTGCTATGATGGAATCGTACTACATTATACCAAATGAGCAAAAGCCAGATTTAGGAAATAGTAATTACCAACGGCCATCTTCCTCTAGGACGTATTCCTCATCCAGAAAGCCTCAAAGGTTATTATCGAACAAAGTGACTTAGGATTAAATCAGAGTACAGAAAAACGATCAAATATAAAATTCATTTTATTATTTTTTAACTATAACACCTAGTAAGAATGTACCGACAAAAACGTTAGAGGAATACGCGATGGAAAATCAACAGCTCAAATCCACTCTAGATATAATGTCTAAGCGAATGCAGGCACACGAGAAGGTGAATGGGCAATTTTCTGATGGGTGAATGAGATCTTAGATGATTGTTCGTATTATTGATGTACCTAAAAATCCTGTTATAGGCTGCAGAAGAAAATAGTATGTTGAGAAGCAGCATTTTGCAATTTAAAAATGATTTTCAAAAACAGGTCGGATAAGATTTAATTTTGTTTGTCCGTGTTAGGTAATTTTATTTTTTATTAATTAATTAAATCATATGACAATAGGCGAAACGAATTAAAGCCAGCCAGGAAATGTTGCGGTCCATGTCCATAATGAAGCAAACTTCACCTGAAAGTTCAACTGGTAGCTACGTGATCACGTGACCGTATTTTACGTATTTTTAGAAATGCTTAAATTTGTTTATTTATTTCGCTTCGGAGAACCTTCAGTGGGTAATGTCCAACTCCTTCAACGACGTGTAAAAGAACTTGAAGAAGAGCTCCGTATCGTAAAGATTGATAATCAGAAGCAGGTAATATCGTAAGTTCTTGAGCATTCTCGGACTTCTATATTACCATTAATCATGTTTTGCAATTTTTCTATTTTTTTTTTTTAATAGAAAGATCTCATGACGAAGTATAGAGAACGGTGGGAAAAATTGAAAGAATCCGCGAAAAAACGGAGAGTAAATAAACAAGGCGATCCAGCAACACATCAAATCGTTGAACCCTCGTCCTCACCTAAAACACCGACTCCCGATTCGGTTCAATCTCACAAAAACCCTCAAGATTCTTCACCACCGTCACCACATCAAAATCCATCTCTTATAGTATTGCCTTCTTCATCCGTTACAATGACGGCAACGACTATTACGACAGCCATTGTTGCTCCGGAATCGCGGAAGCAATCCTTACCTGAAATTAGTCTTCCCTTCGCACTTCAAAAATCACCTCAAAAGCCCGGTTTTGGTGAAATTCTGGATGGATCTACGGGTTCCAAAGGTAGTGTTGGAGCATCACAAAAAAAACCAAATACTACAATTGTCCATGCCATTGGAACAAGTTCAACTAGTGATTGCAAAAATTCTTCCGTAAGCGACAACAATAATAACAAGAATAGCAGTAACAACAGCGCTCGTAGTCTTACAGAATCAAATTCAACAATGTCTTCTTTGCCATTTATGTCACAACAAGAACCTGACGGGTCGTTTCTCCCAACGGGCGCCACAGAAAGTTCAATCTCTCCGTCAAATCAACGAGGCTTGACGCCTGCAGATGAATCATTGTCACCCTCTAGCTCAATGGTGACAGCTGTGACCAGCATTTCTCCGAGTATATACCAGCAATGATCGTGTTACGAAAAAAACAAATTAAGAATTAAGTTTACTTCAATACTAGAAGATTGTCCAGTGAGATTCTAAGGTGGTATTAATAGTTGCAAAAGAATGATTTTGTAAATGAATTGTCCTTTTGTTCTCTCCAAAAGAAACATATATATGCCATATGATATATTACATCCTATTGAGTATTTGTTGTACTTGGTTAATAAGGCATAATCCATTTGTCACGAGTTCCTCATACATCAGGCGTAACGGGATAAATCACGAGTTCCAATTTGAATCCGTATGTCATGTCTTTGATCTTTTTGTTCTGAATGTGCAGCATGCCATCGTTATAAACTTCAATTTTTATGGTTCCTTCGTCACGAACGGAGTTATAAAAATCCGAGGTTAAATACTTTCCATAATAGCAGAAGTTAAATTCCGAGAGATTTGGTGAACTATATATCACATTGGAGCGCGAAATCTCGCACTTAAATCCGTAATATTCGGGTTGATGTGTACGCGATACGATGGCCAAGATGTCTCGTGATGAACTTTGAAATTGAAACTTTTTTTTGCATTTGAGTACATTCTTAAACAATGTCTTAAACTTGCTACCTCGCATCTCCATTTCCAATGCCAGATTTTGTTCATCTGGAGTAAAAACTTCAAGAGGATTGGCCAAGATAACGTCCAGCGGGTAAGTAGAATGGAAATCGTTCTCTCGATCAACCTTAACACACATCGCATTTTCCGTGTGGCAGATGAAAGTCCACGTAATTATTCCGTAAGGTACACATTCCCCATTACGAAAGAAGCTACTGTCAATTTGATTCATGTCTTCCGGATACAAAGTAAGGACTTTCTCAAGTTGCATTCTGGGTATCGCCATGCGCAATGCATGCAGACCATTTTGAATATTTAAGTCATATGTTAGAAAATTTCTTTTGTCTATGAACGCGCACACTTGGGTAAGCTGTGTTCGACCAGATTGCAACATAATTCCTTCTTCAGTAATTGTTAGGATGGCTTCTTGGATGTTTGGAATTTTTACGACTTTCGCAAGAGATCCAAAAAGTTTTGGTTCAACAAATGATGCTTCAAATAATGGAACTGAAATTTCACTCGAACTTGTTGATTCCATTTTTTACACGCAATTTCTTAGTCTCGAACGCGAAAGGAATACAACTTATACACACGTGTACAAATTGGCCATCACGTGAAAATCTGGTGACTAACGTTGAGTTCTTAAATTTTGATCATTAGTCATTCGTAATTAATCGAAAACATGTCTTTCGACACGTCTCCGAGATTATGCATTCTAGGATGTGGCACAATGGGGAGGGTCATTTTGTCGGGAATTTTTTGTGCCTCGAAATCTGATGTACAAAATTCTTCCGGTAGTGAATCCGCGTTCACCCCGCAAAAGTTTATTGCTTGTGTGTCAAGAGAGGAATCCGGACGCCGAGTGACCAAGGATTTTGGGGACCGTGTCACACTATTGACTGGAGAAAATGTCAAAGGCGTTAGTGAAGCTGATATCGTGTTATTATGGTATGCAAATTAGCCTTTTAATATGCCACATTGATGGGCGTTTTGTCTTGTTTCCACGGATTGATCAAATTTCATCCATTCGATTTGAAATAAAAGTACGAAACCACAAGTGGCCAAGACAATTTTAACTGAAAAAGGTATGGCTCAAGTGCTAGAGGGTAAACTGCTGATTAGCATACTTGCAGGAGTAACGATAGACCAGCTAAAAGGATGGGTTCCCGAATCAACTAGAATCATACGAGCCATGCCGAATACCCCTTGCATGGTATAGTAAATTGTAGTCATTGTAGACATATACTGTTCGCAGGCGTATTCGCATGGCGTGATTAATCTCTCCTATGCTGCATTAGATACGGGAGGGAATGACGGTGTTAAGTTGTCCGGTTGATACTCGAGCACACGATAAAGATTTCGCGTTATGGGTATTTTCTAGTTTGGGACGAGCGAGATTCTTGGATGAAAAGCACCTAGACGCCGTTACTGGACTTTCCGGAAGTGGTCCCGCATTTGCATGGTGAGGTTAACACGCCAATGCTATTATCTATCAATTCAATATCTTATTTAGGAATTGTTTGCAGCGTTATACTGGAGGCCATGGCTGACGGAGGTGTTATGATGGGACTTCCACGTGATATTTCTTTCGAATTGTCCGCTCAGGGTAATCCAAGTTCGATAGTGTAAACTTTGCACATTTGAGGCACCTTTTCACCTTGTGGTTTCTTTTTTGATACATGTAGCGCTTCAAGGTGCGGCAAGAATGGTTTTGCAAACAGGAAAACACCCGTCGGAAATCAAAGATAGCGTCACAACTCCGGCGGGGTGTACGATTGCGGGATTGCTTACCATGGAAGATGGTAAAATTAGATCCACATTAGCAAGGACTATACAGGAGGCTACAACTGTCGCATCAACATTAGGGGCTTCTCAAGCAAAAAGTGAAAAATAATGGAACTTGAATATTGGATGGTATTATATGAAAACCACACTATTTGATTCTCAATAAAGTGTATACATGATGTCGGTATGAAATTATGGATATACTTTATTCTTAATTAGAATTTAAGTTTAATTAATCTTTAAAAATAAGTCACTTATTGTTTATTTTAATTTCAAACTTGATATTATTTTTTGTTATTTTTACTAAAAAATTTATTAATTTTATATTTACTATTATGTCTTAATAGTCTTACCATCTATAAAATTTCGATTTTATTAAACTAATTTTCTAATTAATTTATTTATCTTAGTATAAAACTCTAAATATAACTTTGAAAGTGATTTGTTATATCATTAATAGTTTAAGTATATATTCTTCTAACTATTAAATTATTATTTGCAAGTCTCTATTACAAATCATAAACAAAATTCTAGGATTAAAATCCGATTACTTTATTTTATATATAATTCTATTTATTAAATTTTTATAAGATTTTTATTTTTTTTATTTTTTTTTTTTTAATTTTAATATAAATAGATTTGACTTTAATATGCCTTTTCAGATAGGATAAGTTTAACAATTACTTGACTTTATCATTTTTATAAATATTATAAATTTGTTTATCTTTTTATATTTTTATTTTAAAAAAATTTTTTAATGTAATTAAATATTTTTTTTTGTATTTTATAAATATATTTTATTATTATTTTATTAAATTTTTTTTAATAGTTTAATTTTATTACTTTTCTACTAAATTATTTTTTATTAATTCTATATAGAAACTATATACATTGTGGGACAGTTGCTTTTGAAAAATTTTAATTAATTATAATTTAATTAAAAATATATTTATTAGAATCCACAAAAAAACTCTTTTCGCTGATCCTCTAACTACACACAAAAAAGATGTTCGCAAGAAGTTTTTATACTTCCTTACTAATAAAGTCTTATTACTCTCTTTAAAATTAAAAAAAAAAAAATAAAAAAAATAAAA